TATAATTTTTTTAATCTCAAATTCGAATATCTTATAAAAATAATATTTTACTCCAATGAACAATTATAAATAGTTTACTATATATTATAAATAAATAAGGAAAAAACCTATATTAAAATAGACGATGAAATAGAATATAAACTCATTATTTATAAGATAATGAATAGAAAATAATGAATGGAAGTATTTACTTATAGATTATACTGTGTAAGAGTTTAAAAAATTGTGTTTTAGAATTGATAGTATGATTAAAATGATGAGACTTAATTATTTTAATATTAAAAGTTTAAAGAATAAATAAAAGCGAGTTTCATTATTTAAAAACACATATTCTGTCTATAACCTTTTCTTAATACATTTTTTCTTTTCTCTTTAGATATTTTACAATTTGTTCATTCTTTTGAAAATCAAAGATAGTAAGATTTCTCTTGGTGGTGAGCTCATCAAAATCAATTGATTAGTTTCTTCAATAGGGTAAGTTGATTTTTTTTTCCTTTCTTGGTTGATTCATATAGTGTTTATGTTCTTTTTGCTAGTCTTTGTTGATTACTTGTCCTAATAGTGTGTCCTGATCGTGTTTGTGTTGTTCATAGAGATAGATAGAGCATCCAGTGAGCTTAAGAGTGTTTTAAGGGTAATCAAGTTGTTTGGTTGCCTTTTAGATAAGGGACACTAATTGCTATAATGTGTATTAGTTGGATAATTATGATGTTTTTTGTATGTTGTTTACATTTGATTGATGTTTGTACTTTTGTATGTTTTGATTTGAGTTTTTCTTGTTGTTTGTATTGTTGTGATAAAGAGAACTAAAGAGCTGAACAATTGTACAAATTGGTATAAGCTTTAAGGTATACAATTGTGTTAAACCATTTCTTAGGAAAAGAAATACCAATCCAAACAATTGATTAAGTCTCATTTCACTTAAATCACAAATCTGAGTGTCTTGTAATCTGATATAACATTGAGCGATACTAGTTGGGCACTGAGCACAAACTTGATTGTGCAAATCTAAAAGCATTTTAGCTTCAGACCATTGAGAGTCCCTTTTTCACTCTAAGATAGCACATGGTAAATTAGTGTGCAAAAGAATCATCTTAAAACAGTTAAATCATATCAAATATCAACTATACATTGATTAAATACAATAACTCATATAAACACACATAACATTTGACATTAGACTCAATTATCTAGACACATGCCTTTGACATAGGGCTTCAACATAGGCGTGCACTTGTAATGGTATTTATGCTATATAGTCATATACAAAAGGGTTATCACTCTACCACTTACAAAGTTAGTCCCCTTTGTGCCTAGGACTAACAACACATTGGTTAGGACCTTTTGTGACTCTCACCACATAACTCATTCTACTGTATTTGAGCATGAATAGTTATTAGAGTTCATAATATCTCCTTTTTTACCCCATATGTCAATGCATACACTAAATGTTACCTCTACACAAAATTTCGCCTTGAAATTCTCTCAACAACATTTCCAAACATATCATTATAACATCTTCATTTTCACAAACCCAGTCTTCATACTTAAACATATTTAAAGCTAATTTAAATCAATGCCAAACAACTAAGAATAATATAGCTCAAACATGCAAATTAGCGCTCAGAAATGGTGTCCAACGCCAAACTTCTCACAAAAGGTAGTGCTCAACACTAGTCTTGGCAATTATTGCCATTTTTCTTGCAAAAATTTGCGCTCAACAACAATACTCTTCTACTACTTAGTATTGTGGAATTAAATTGCTTCAGACCTGCAGTGATAATATGGCGTTCAATGGTGCCATGTTATAGTTCAACACTCAAGCATTCACAAAAATGGGCTCAAAAGCCAACAACAAAAGGTGGGAGGACCATCTACGTCCAAGTCTAGACAAAAGGAAAGGAAGAAACTATATTCTATGACTCAACCTTAAGGGACTAGAGGGTTTCATTCTTAACAACAATCTCATTTTTCTAGGATCCACTGCTTTCAGTGTGAAAGACCACATTTGAGGAATGATTGTCCACAGTTGGTTGGCCCTAAGAATTGCTTTAATTGTGAGAAAGAAAGGCATTTTGTCAAAGACTATCTTTCTAACAAGAGCATAGAGATAAAACCCTTGTCCCAGTCTTAGTGTAGAAAAGGGGTGACATACCTCAAGCTTCAAGGAGGGTCTACAAAAGTAGCTGGTTCAGGTAACCTTATCATTGAAAGTTGTGTGATAGCTAGTATAAGTTTGTGTGTGTTGTTTGATTTTGGAGCGACATCCTCTTTTGTGTCAGAGTATCGTGTTCAAGAGTTGTGTCTGCATGTGAGGGAGTTGTTGTATGATTTGGTGGTATCTACCCCAACTTCAGGTTTGGTGAAAACATTTGCAATTTGTGCTAGATGTTCAATTTTAGTGACGTACGTTCAAAGTCAATCTTGTATGTCTACTTCTACAAGGGTTGGATGTGATATTAAGGATGAATTGGTTATATGCCAATCACATTCTTATTTATTACAACAAGAAGAGGTTGTTGTTCTCAAGTTCAGAAGATCTTGAGTTTTTGTCTTTGAATCAGGTCATTAAGGAGGCCAAAGAAGGGTATCAAGGTTTTATCATCTTGAATCATTTGACTATTGAGGAGGGTGATAGGAATACTGAGATTCTTGTGGTGAAGGAGTTTGCAGATGTTTTTACTAATGAAGAGCCAAGGTTGCCTCCTAAAAGAGAAGTGGAGTTTTCTTCAATTTGGTGTTCGAAGTAGAACCAATATCAATAGCTTCATACTGTATGGCTCCAGTAGAGTTGATAGAGTTGAAGAAACATATAGAAGACTTATTACAAAAGTAATTTATTTGACCCAATGTGTCAGTATAAGGAGCATTAATGTTGTTAAGTGAATAACAAGGGTGGTAGCTCAAGGTGTGGATTACAAGCAGTTGAATAAGTTGGCATTAAAAAGAAATTACCCTTTACCTAGGATAAATTATGTGATGGATCAGTTGCATGACATCAGGGTATCATTAGATTTTGGTTAAGGCTGAAGATGTGCAGAAGACAACGTTTAGGTCAAGATACAAGCATTATGAGTGTGTAGGTATGCCTTTTGGTATGACTATGTTCTTATCCTATTCATGGACTATATAAATATAATCTTGAAACCCTTTCTAAATAAGTTTGTCGCAGTCTTCATAGACGATATTTTTATCTACTCAAAAACTCATGAGTAATATGTTGAACATCTTAGAACGATGTTTGGTATTCTAAGAGAGAAGATGTTAGTATGCCAAATTGTCTAAGTATGAGTTTTGGCAAAAGGAAATGAAATTTTTAGGCCATGTGATATTAGCTCAAGGAATATCTATAGATACAACTAAGATGAAGGCATTGTTGAAATGAGAACGTCCTAAGCCTTTATTAGAGATAAGAAGTTTTGTAGATTTAGCTAACTATTATAGAAGATTAATTGAAATATTCACTATCGCCTTTAACACAACTAACCCACAAGGATCAACAGTTAATGTGAGAAAAACTTTCAAAAGTTAAAGTAGAAATTGACAAAATGCTCTAGTATTGGTAGTTCTTAACAAAAGTAGATATTTTGAGGTTTTTGTTATGATTTTTCATGCTTCAAGAAGTTAAAGATTCATCAGAAAAACTATTATACCTATGATTTGAAATTAGTAAGAATGGTTTTTGTCTTAAATATATGAAAACACTACTTATTTGATAAAAATGAATTAAATATGAGGCAGAAACTATGGTTAGAGTTTTGGAAAAACTATAACTTTGAACTATTATACCACGTACAAAAAGTTAATATAGTTGCTAACGGGGGATTCTTACATTTCAAATTACTAATATTATTATCTTTATCTTAATGATACATAATCATGTGGCCAATATAAACTTTAGCAACCCTTTCAAATTTAAAGAATTTTTGTCTTTCTTTACTACATTTAATTTAATGAGTTATTAATATAAAAATCATATTTTTTTAACTTTAAACTTTAAAATTCATATTTAAATTCAAATGAAAACTAAAACATCCGATCCCAAGTAACAATAGATTTGAAAAATTAATTTATTAATAATTCTATATATTCTTTATTTTTTAAATTTTCCAATAAAAAAATATTTTAAAAAATTGACATGAAATAAATTAATTACAAATTTATTAAAAGAACCCGTTTCGGGTATAGGCACTAGTTTATTATTAAAAAGAAGCTGTTTCAGTTTGTTGAAATCAGTTTAAGACCAAATTACTTTTAACATCAGTCCCCAATTATAAAAATTCAAAATCATATATAAAATATCCTTCGTTTGTTATTAATCAAAATAATGTTAACTTAATCTTAATTTGCCAATTGCTCACTGTGCTGACATAGAAAATGCAAGAAACAGAAACATCAAAACAAATCCAAATCCAGCTGCTACAAATATAGTAGTAGATGTAAATGCAATTGTGCAAGCCCGAAAAAAGCATAAACCAAAGAAAAAAGCATAAACCAAAGGTACCTCCAAACAAGACACAATATCTATTCACCAGACACAACTGTTCATTAAAAAAGGAAAAAAAATTACAAAACCAGGTAGATTCAGAAGCATAAAGAATGGTTTACAATCACTAAGATATCTCAGATCAAGTGTTGGATTATATACTTTGCTTCATCACAATCTGCCAAGGCTATATAATATTTCAAATAAAACTTCAATGCCCCATCTCATACACAGTAGCATTCAAGACACCTTCGAAAGAGAAATATATCTTCTGATAAATATAAACTCAATCTCAAGAGATTCAAAACACTAACCTCAATCACTAAATTATATTGATCCCAAATCATAAACTCCAAAATTTTCAAAACATTTGCCAAACTTATCGAGCATACATCAAATTTGAAGCCATTTTAGCTCCCATATACAACACACCCAAATTAAACATTAAAAATACGAAATTATACACATTTGACAAGCAAAAACAATTAAAAAGCTCCCGAAAATACGCAAACATAATAACTCAGTCCCTTAAATGTTAATTAACGGTTGCGATCATACCCGTAACTCATTACTGGTCTGTAAGACTAGTCACAGTTAAAAACAAGAAACACCCATTTCATCAATCAGCAAAAGAATGCAAACCAAGAAAACAAAATCGAAATTTAACTGCCCCAGAGATCCCCAAAAATTCAGAAGGAAGAAAAAAGGGTTTTACGGAGGGACATGAAAGGGAAACACAAGCTAGGGCTTTTCGGCCGAAATTGAATTAAGACAACACGCAATGTACAAAAAAATACTAAGATTTCAGCAAAGAGGCTTATAAGCAAAAAACCCTAATTTGAGTTGAGGTAGCGAAGGGGTCGAGTTATAGTTTATATAGAGAACACGTATATGTGGATCTAACCAGCCCAACTAATTTGGGCTTTGACTCTTAAATTATTAATTCGGCCCAGATACTGCTTTTCCGGTTAAATATTTTATTTATTTTTAATATAATTTAAATCTCAAATTTATGCTTAAAAAATGTATAACCATCGTGAAAAAGAAAATTAGGCTAAATATTAATTATTCATTATCAAAGCGCTTGTTTTATTTAATGCACTGTGTATATATATACAAGACAGAGAACTTTTAGATATTTTAACGTTTGGAAAAGTTACAGTTCAATTGCTAGGTCCTATTAGTATAAAAATTATGTGGTGAATTAACTATAAATTTTTATTAATATATTCATCAAAATATATTTTTAAAAATAAGAATATTATCATAATTATAATTAATGATTAAATAACATAACACATGCTAATTGAGTTGGTTTAAACTATGATAATATATAAAAAAAATAAACTTTAAATTTAACTCAACTCTATAAAATCGACTTTTAATTTTGTATTTTTATTATAGATTGATTTTATTTCTAATCAATGAGATTTTTAACATAAATTTTTATGAATTCTCTTATCTTATGAATAAAAAATAAAGGTAATACAATATAAATTTACTCAAGATGCAAAATATTAAAATTATGCTATTAGCACATTTTTCTCTCGTTAATGGTTTGTTTGTGTACTAGAAAAAGTAAAAGCAACCATTTTACTTAGTTTTAGAATAATTGGTATCATAAATATAAATATTTCACTCTTAACATAATTATTTCGCACTAAAAATAATATTAACATGATTTAAATATTAGAAAATATAAGTTACTATTATTTGTGTGAACTTCGGCTAATGTGGAATATGCGTAGCTTTTCTGTTCAGTCCACGTTTTTTTGTGTGAAGAAAGTAATATTTTTGTCTTTTTCTTTTATTCATAGAATGTATTTGTTGGGTTTGCTTCATATATTCAACTGCGCTTTTGTTATCTCTTAAAGGGATATGACTTTCTGCACCCCTACACCTTCCTCCCACAGCCCCATTTTATTCAAATATCCATTTTGTGTTTTATGTTCTATGTATAGTTGAAGCTCAAAAAACTCTATTTTTGTGTTAAATTTGAGCCCCTGGTTTTGGAAAAATATATTTTTGAACATAAAATTTAAAAAAAAAAACGGTTATTGGGCATTTTCAATTTATGATTAAAAAAAATCAACAAAAAAGCGATGTCTAATTGTTTTAAAATCATTCAAGTAAATATTAAATTTAGAGTTTAAGTACGAATAAGATACTTTTTTCTTATTTATCTATAGAACATAAACCACGATTTAAAATAATAATTTGTTGGCATTGAACGTAACAAAACAAAAGAAGTATCCTTGGTATTTTATTTGGAATATCCAATATCCCTTTTTCTCTAACTCGGTTTGCAAAATTCTAAACGTCTTCTCAGCTCTATCAAGCATGGCACATAAATATTCAGAACCAAAATAGTGGTCAAACGACTCATATTTGGAAATTGAAGTGAATTCTCACGAAAATATAAAAAGAGAAAAAAAATAAAAGTTTTGACCTTATCCTCCAAAAGTACCACCAATTAACGTGTACCATATCTTGGTGCAAATTCACGTCTACAAAATAACAAAGTCTTTTTTTTTTTTTTTTCAGGAATTTGTATCTTCTGGAACTGATGCACAACCTCCCATGTTGAATTATTGTTTCTACATCTTTTCAAACCTTCTTATCCCCACATTTTTTCAGGTTATATAATAAAGGTGTGAAATATCTATTGGTTTTCCTTTATCATATAAATTCTAAAAAAGAATGTTGAAAAATAACAGCGTTTGAAAGAAATTAGTCTCCAATTATTGGTTAAGGTTATATATATTTATAATTAATTACATATTACAATTTGTTTAGCATCAAGTTCATATGTGACAAAAACAGAAACACAATTAAAGAATCACTAATTGGGAAAACATGATGTGTAGTGTAGTGAGATTAAGATTCAACATGTTGTCAATTAACTAAGTAATTGCTTCCTTTTCACTAATAAAGTTATTGATAGAATACTTTACAAAGCTTTTCTCCAAACCAACCAATGTAAAATCCACACAAGTTTCAATTATTTAAGCCTAAGAGCTCTTTAATGACATAAGACCAAATGTGATGAAGTTGAAGTTGTCCAAAGAAATAGAGTTATATGGTAATGTTGAAAGTCATTGTCCAAAGAAAGGGAAATCTCTAATCTAATCAAAGTTCTTACAATGTTTTTGTGTCGATGTGAGTGGTTTTGCACACGCAACTGCATCGTGTCGCCGCACGCTAGTAGAATTATTGACCCATGTGAGAGAGATTGTTTTGTTTTTTCTTTATTGAAAAGAGAGCAAAATAAAATAATAGATGTGACAAAATGGGGAAAATATAAAAGGTGAAAAAGAAAAAAGAATATGGATTTCGTTTTCAATGACTTTTATTTTTTGAATTTGGAAATTTATGTAATTGTCAATGGTGAAGGAATGCAACTTCTTACGCAACATATCGTTTATGTGTTTGGTTTTATATGATATAACCTATTATTAGAATTACCAAATTATTTCACCCACTACCCGAAAAAGCATTAGTAAACAAATCCACACTCATTTAATTGCGTCGAGACGAAACTGCGTCACAAAAAATTGTACAATTTTTTTTGGAATTAAAAGGAGATACTTAAATTATTAGTTATTCTGACTCTTCAAGCAATGTACGTGAGATAGTTGTTTCATGTTGTTTTGACTTTCAAAAAATTTTACAAGTGTGTTTATATTTATTATTTTTTTTAAATACAATTTTTTTTTAATAATTAGTTTATCTTTAAAAATGAGTTGTCAAATTACTCTTGTAATGTAAAAATATTATTCTCTAGATTACTTTTATTCAAAAATGAATGAAACAATCTTAATTTTGTTGTATCTAATTAATTTAAGCATATATCAGTTTTATATTCTTTTGTATCACATTGGTTAACTCTATAAGAGTTACTTATCATTTGAAACGTGGTCTTGATGTATTTATAATACAAAAGAGTAATTACACAAAATAATGATGTGCATACCCTTGTTTGTATATACTCTTTTTCTCTGTCAACAAGTGGTATAAGGAAGAAAATTATGCATTTTGTATCCAACCTTCCAATAACTTGATAACAAGAATTATGACCACTGTATATATATTATAACAAGAACTATGACAGATCAATGTATGGTGACCCAAGTTTAATTACATTGTGAGTAAAAAATATAGAGAAAATGAGAGTAAAAGAGGTACAAGGGTCACTGGAAGCTTATGAGTTAAAACTCCTATCAAGAAATGCTTTGAAAGCTTATGTAGAACAAGCCTTGCAAGCCCAGGCTACAAGGAGATGTGGTTTCTGACGTGGAAAATGTAGGAAGAATAACAAGGTGGTCATTTTGTTAAAGATGGTGGTTCTTAAATCAAGAACATGGTTTTAGTGAACATGCAAAGCAAACAAGGTATGCTAAAAGCAATTTTGGCAAAGGAAGAGGAGGAAAGAAGAATCGAAATCGCATAAAAATCCAATGCTTGAGGAGTGAGGACACTATGCCGAGGATAAGAGATCACAAAAGTACACATGTAACAGCTATATGCAAATAAAATTTTGAGGTGTTTATTATCTTAAGTATTTTAATATTCATTTATAAATTGATTTGGAATAAGTATTATATTACTTACGGATATTCGCTATTTAAAAAAAGTAAAAAATAAAAATTATATTTTATTAAATTAAATTTAACTAAAAATAATATCAGATTTAAAATTACAGTGGATAGTGTGTATTATACTATCTGTATATCCTTTATTTGTAAAAAATAAAATAAAAATTTAATTTATATTTTATTAAAATTAAAATTAATTTATACCTTTTTATCAGATTAAATTTAATTAAAATTAATTTTTAATTTAATTTATATTATATTTTATATTTTATTTGTAATTTTATTTAAATTTCATTTTAAAAATTTATAAAATATTTTTTTAAAATACTAACATATATTTGTGGATTTTAAAATACCTGTAGGTACTTTTTAAATGTTGCGGGGATAGTAGGCGGGTAGCAAGTGAATTTTTTTATTGCGAGTCCGTAGCGGGTAAACATTATATGTGTCCGATCTTACATGTTGTTATCCTTAGCCTCACGTATTTGAACCCAACAAACAACATTGGAAAGAAGGCATATCTCAAAAATTACCCACCACAACTTCTCTCAACATAACGACTTTGCTTAATCAGGGAACCCAAACCCTTTTCCATCTTCCCTAATCATATAGGAACCTTACTCATAAGCTCAAATGTCTTTCGCTTTTCTAAGAAACCGTTTTCAATTACTATTATTCCACCTCACCTTCGTTTATGTTTTCAATATACGAAAAACTTACACTTACTAATAACTAACATGAACATTGTATCATTAACGATTTAGACTCTATCATAAAAAATACTAAATTAAACAAAAATTAAAAAATTGAAATAACTTTAAACATTAAAAAAAGTTGACGAGCAATTTAAACAAAACTTACGAAAATGGATATTAAAATAGATATTAAATCTATATATACCTTAAAAATGGGGAGAGGGTGATAAACAATTTAAAGTAAAGAGAAGAAACTTCATGTGGTCCATTATTGGGGTTTGGCATAGGATCCTTGATTCTAATTAGACG